AATTTACCATTAATATCAAGATAACCGAAATAATTACGTATTTCAGGAGTCTTGAATAGCAATATGTTATCATGTTACGAGCACAACGGATTCAGTTAAACAAATATCAAATGACAATATTGTATGCATAACAAGATATATAAATACTGAAGTTAAGTAAGAATGATAGTACAATAGTTCGACCTCAGAATCCTAAAGCTAAAGCTTCAATTAAATCTCTAACTGAAAATTGTAATGTTTAATCGCTCATGTTGAGCTTGATACACCATAAAAGTGTTTTAAGATTAACTAAAGGAATTATAGAAAGAATGATCGAGGGAGACGAAGTCTGCTACTGGTTTCTAGCTACCGTTCTTTTTTATTTTACGTCCTATTTAAAGGCTGAGGGGATAAGGGTTTCCCCTTTGTGGAGATAAATTTTTCCTCGATGATTTCAATCTTTCTTTCTGCTTTCCAAAATTGCCCATGCTTGATTTAGTTTTACGCCTACAGGTAAAAATGGGATATTCTTTTAAATTTAAAAGAATACTAAAGCATCAGTATTTATTGTTACCACTAGGGTGCAAGCCTTGCCTAAAGATTGTTTGTGCATGATTTGATACTTGTTATTGCTACTAGGGTGTTAACTTTGGCCAAGGATTATTTATGTACGAACTAATATTTCCTGCTGCCACTAGAGTGCAAGGCTTGCTTGAAGCTTGGTTGTACGCGAACTAAGATCTGCTGCCCCTGCTAAGGTGTAAGTCTTGCCCAAGGCTTATACTTGAACTAATGACTTCTTCTACACAAATCCAACTCTACTGTACTACTTTTCTGAATTTAAGTCTTATCTCTCAATCTGCATCAAAATAAGTAAAATTGCCTAAGTTAGACAATAAATAACTCAATTATGCATTCAAAATAAGTGATAAAGATGTTATTTATGCGTACTATCATAATGCACTTATGAGCTTACAAAAGAAACAATTAAAATTTTTCTAAGTTCCATTTGATTATAAATTTGATCCCAACTATAATTTATTAAATGACAACCTAACAACCTTACCTCAGATACTCAAGCCGAACTTATTGCCACTTAGATGCACGATTCACAAAATGCAAACTCCATGTATTTTTTTTGTGGTGATCTCATAAGTAAAATAAGACATAATGGACATGGTGATACATTATCCTACATATTATATTTTCTTGCAAACTTCATATCCCAAAAGACTAAAATAAAAAAAATAATGTAACGACTCTAGAAATATCTAAAGAAAATAAATGATAATTAAAGTGCAGAAGCGAAATAAATGTTTAAGGTTTACACTAATTACACAATAACTTAAAGTACCAATTAATGTTACGAAATTCACTCTTTTGAAAGAAACATAAAGAAATAAGGAAATAAATAAAAAATAAAGAAAACTAGTATTTTACTTGCAACCCTCTTGCGGATCGGGCTCTGGATCCTGATCACCTTTATATAAAATAGTTAAATAAGGGATGTGCTACACTAACCCAGTAAGAATATCACACTATATCATCGGCACAGAAATAAAAGTTGGTAGAAAAAAATAAAAAAAACAATTAATAGAGCCCAAAATTAAGCAAATTAATCTATCAATAATAAAACCATTTATCGTCTACTTACCGTAGTGAGATTTATAGAAAATAACCTATAGAAACAATAACATTATATATATCATGATTCCGTATATAATTGGCAACATAACACATATTATACTTTCATATACAAATCATCAAAGAACAATTGCCCATTTTTTCACCAGCCTGCTGGTATCCATAGGGTTTATAGGGATGTCCCCACTATGCATGAACCTCTTCCTTTAACATTCTCAATTACGAGCTGTCTCATACCCCGTCTGGTATGAGCTTCAAATTACCAAACCTCAATACCTCATCTGGTATGAGTGTGAAACGGACCGTCTTCATACCCCGTCCGATATGAGTACCAAGTTACTAAGTCTCCATACCCTGTGTGGTATGAGACACGTTCATGGTAAGGTTTCTTGTGTACTCATTCTGTCCACCATCTCCCAGGATGTCCAGTAAGGCTGCTGTTTAATCTAGTCACTTAATCATACAAGTTTTTCATTTACCTTTAACCTCCAGTTTTTCAATTCAACCATAAACACGTAAAACAATAATACATATATTCAAAGCTATAAAATAAATCAATAAGGCACTATCACGCATTTAAATTATAAAACCAATCAATATAAATCAACAGAGAATAATTTCCAGTTCTGACTCCATTAGCAATCCGTAATTAATCATGAACATTTTTTAAATTGTACAAAATACCGTATTTATCGTTAATTAGACTTCAATTCTATAACAGAGAATAAGGTGAGAGATTCTTACTCAATTTGATACCTGAAAGGCTAAACTATTGACTACGCCCACTAGCGGTCCCTGGGTTCTCTGAATTTTTCTTCGGGAATTAAAACGTGCTATAAGTACCTATAAATGTCCCAAACAAATCCTAAATCAGTCTCAAGGCCCATTTTGTCCAATTTTGGAATTCCAGCATGGCGGCTCCGCCGTGCTCTGGCGATAGGCAGTGGCAGTTCGCCTCAGCTCGGCTGTTTTTTGCCGAATTTGGCCGATTTCGCATCAATTCCTATGAGAAAACATGTTAAAGGGCCTTGGTTGGCCAAAAAAACACAAATAAACTAAAACCTACCGGCGACATGGCTCTCTAATGCGGCAGCTCCTCCAGCTCACGTTGTGGTTTGGTGTTTTGCTCCGGTTAACCTGTAGAGG